GTGTTCATTTTAGACTTAGGCTCATCTATGTTTTAAATTTTAATCTTTCTAGTATTATTTTCTGTTATTTCCTAGTTGTTATGGCTTCATCCTGTGGTATACTGCTGAAACTCATGCTTGTATCATGTGGATATACCCACATCTTTTCTAAATTACTCATTCTTCAAACAGAAAAATTTTCACCTTAAATTTCATGTCTGTTTTTTGAATCCAGAAAACAATGTCAATAAGTGTTCAAAATGACAGAAATTTCACTAGTAAAGAGTAAATTCAAACCATGATAATACTAAGAAACGATCCTGGGATTGTGTAACCTAGGGTTGTTGCTGAAGGATTTTCTTTTGTTCCTCCAGTCCTACAACCACCTTAGCCACAAATAAACACAGGATATTATATTAATTACTAAACTGGTGGCCAATTGCTTGAGCCTCTTATTGGCTAGCTCTGTCTTAATTATTAACTTATTTCTATTAATCTATGTATTTCCACATGGTCTTATCTTACCGGAGAACTCCTGGTGCCTCCTTTCTTCCCAGTCCTTACATGATGACTATCTTTGACAGGCTTTCTCTGCTTAGAATTCACCACATCCTAGTCCTTCCTATATTTATGCCTCATCGTCCAGACAGTGTTTTATTCCTCAACCAATAAGAGAAATGTATATACAGAAGGAATCTCCCATCATGTGATTTCATCCCTTTACATATCAAAAATTCTGAAAAACTGTTGATTTTTCAAAAACCTTGCAATATGCTATGGATTAGCCAACATTTGCATTAGTGTTCATTGCATCAGTCTCTCTCATTAGTGTTCAGCATTCGGTTGATTAAGTTTTTAAAATTCAATTGAAGTTTTTCCATTATAATTGTATATTATATTGTGCATAGCCAGTATCTCTCAATATAAAATTGTTGTTTGAGATCCTTAGTTCCCTTGATATACCCACAATTTGTGCTTGTAAGTTGTTCCCTTGGCTTTAAATTTTGTCAGATATAAGTGCCAGTGAGATAGCTTAGGAAGCAGAGTGCATGCTGCCAAATCTGAAGATCTGAATTCAATTTTCTGAGGCCCACATACAGCAGAGATAAGACTGGTAATGAAAGGAGAGGACCAACTCCTTTTTTGTCATGTGTGCCATGACACATACCCTGACCTGATAAAGTATATTAAAAAGTGACAGGTCTAAAAACTATCAAATATGTATTTAAAGGAATGGCAATTCAAATCCAAAAAATTAAAATGTGTATATGGATTAAGATAATGAATCAACAGCACATAGTTTGGAGGTGCTGCAGAAAACAGTATTCTAAGAAGTTGTTTCAATGAATGAAAGAAGCATATGCATGTAAGGGAAGACAGAAATTCCATCATTACAGCACAGAGGGCTAATGGGAACTTGTGAAAAAGGAAGATTTAGACCATGATAAAAGCATTCCAGAAGAGTTTGCAAAGTAAGAGTACAGAAAATGTATTACATGTGAGAAGAAACAGAACTGTTTAATATATTCTCTGATCCCAGCCTTTCCATTTTTAGTCTTATATTACTTGTTTAGGTTCTTTTTTTTTAATTTTAAATTAGAAACAAGATTGTTTTGAATGTCAATCCCAGTTCCCTCTCCTTCCCCTCCTCCCTTATCTCCCCAAGTTAACACCCTACTTATCCCATACCATTTCTGCTCCCCAGGAAGGGTGAGGCCTTACATATGGGATCTTCAGAGTTTGTCTTATCCTTTGGGATAGTGCCTAGGCCCACCCCCATGTGTCTAGGGTCAGGGAGTATCCCTCTATGTGGAATGGGATACCAAAGTCCATTTTTATGCTAGGGATAAGTACTGATCTACTTCAAGAGGCCCCATAGATTTCTGAGGCCTCCTCACTGACACCCATGTTAATGGGGTCTGGATCAATCCTATGCTGGTTTCCCAGCTATCAGTCTGGGGAACAGCTATCAGTCTGGGGAACAACTATCAGTCTGGGGAACAAGAGCTACCCCTAGTTCAGGTCATCTGTTTCTGTGGGATTCACCAGCCTGGTCTTGACCCCTTTGCTTATCAATCCTCTTTCTCTGAAACTGGATTCCAGTTCAGTTAAGTGTTTATCTGTAGTGTCTGATTCTATTTCCATCAGCTGGGGGATAAAGGCTATAGAATGGCATATAAGTTAGGATCCTACCTATCCAAGAACTTGGGAGATCCTTCCATTTTCTGGTATCTTATTTAATTTTTATTTAAAGACTCAAAATTCTTACAATACAAGTCTTTCACTTTTTTGGCTATCATTACTCCAAGGTATTTTATGTTGTTTGTGGCTATTGTAAAGGGTGATGTTTCTCTGATTTCTTTCCCAGTGCATTTATCATCTGCATATAGTGAAGCTACAGATTTTTTGAGTTAATCTTGTATCCTGCCACTTTGCTGAAGGTGTTTATCAGCTGTAGGAGTTCCCTGGTAGAGTTTTTTGGGTCACTTATATAGACTATGGTATCATATGCAAATAGTGAAAATTTGACTTCTACCTTTCCAATTTATATCCCCTTGATGTCCTTTTGTTGTCTTATTGCTCTAGCTAGAACTTCAAGGACAATATTGAAGAGGTCTGGGGAGAGTGGACAGCCTTGTCTTGTTCTTGAGGGGAATCATATTGAGTTTCAGAATTTTTTTTCTACTTCCATCTATTTGCCTGTGAATTTCAAGATTCCATTTTTTTCCATTGAGTAGTACTCCATTGTGTAAATGTACCATATTTTCTCTATCCATTCTTCAATTGAGGGACATCTAGGTTGCTTCTAGATTCTGGCTATTACAAATAATGCTGCTATGAACATGGTTGAACAGATGTCCTTGTTGTTTGAATGTGCTTCTTTTGGGTATATGTCTAAGAGTGGAATTGCTGGATCTTATGGTTGACAGATTTCCAATTTTCCTGAGGAATCACCATACTGATTTCCAAGTGGCTGTACAAGTTGGCACTGCCACCAGAAGTGGAGAAGTGTTCTCCTTTCTTCACATCCTCTCCAGCATAAACTATCATTGAGGTTTTTGATTTTAGCCATTCTGACAGGAGCAAATTGTTGTCTCAGAGTTGTTTTGATTTGCATTTCCCTGATGGCTAAGGATGTTGATCACTTTCTTATGTGTCTTTCAGCAATTTTAGATTCCTCTATTGAGAATTCTCTATTTAGTTCTGTACCCCAATTTTCAATTGTATTATTTGGTGTTTTGGAACCTAGCTTCTTGAGTTTTTGTAGATTTTGGAGATCAGCCCCTCAGATGTGGGGTTGTTGATTATCTTTCCCCATTCTGTGGGCTGGTGTTTTGTCTTGCTGACTGTGTCCTTTGCTTTATAGAAGCTTCTCAGTTTCAGGAGATATCACTTATTAATTGTCGATCTCCGTGTCTGTGCTACTGATATAATGTACCAGTTCTTTAAAGGGTATTTCCCACTTTCTCTTCTAAAAGGTTCAGTGTGGCTGGATTTATGTTGAGGTCTTTGATCCATTTGGACTTAAGTTTTGTTTGTGGCGATAGACATGGATCTATCTGTAGTCTTCTACATGCCAGCATCCAATTATGCCATCAGCATTTGTTGAAATTATTTTCTTTATTCCATTGTGTAACTTTACCTTCTTTGTCAAAAATCAGGTGTTTGTAGGTGTGTGGGTTAATATCAGGGTTTTCAGTTGGTTTCCATTGGTCTGCCTGTCTATTTTTGTGGCAATAACAAGCTGTTTTTCAGGACTATAGCTTTATAATAGAACTTGAAATCAGGGATGTTTATACCTCTGGAAGTTCCTTTATTGTACATGGTTGTTTTGGCTGTCTTGGGTCTTTTTTTTTTATTATATGAAGTTGATTATTATTCTTTCAAGGTCTTTGAAGAATTATGCTGAGATTTTTATGTGAATTGCATTTTTACTATGTTGATCCTACCTATCCAAGAGCATGGGAGATCCTTGCATTTTCTGGTGTTTTCTTCAATTTCTTTCTGTGAAGACTCAAAGTCAGAAACTATCTGCTAAAGTAAGCAAAATCATCTATTCATGGGCCAGGTAGAGACAAGTTGCATCTTGTTTTCTTTTTTATGCTCTAGCAAGATAAATGAGATCTCAGCATATTATACTTGTTCTAAAGGTCACAAGTTCCTCAAGACATTGAAACTAACATTCCTCCAAAGAGGCTTGGTACTCAGAGGATTTGTAACTACAATGTGCCTGGTCTGTCTGAAATAATATCTATTTTAAAGGGCTTAATACAATTTTTATTAGTTTGTGGTTTGTTTCTTTTGAATAACTCTTCAATAAACAGTATACTTAGTACCATCAAAGTCACTTAAATAGAAATACTTTTGACTTCAATGTCAATGTGCCCTTTTAATACTAATTCTTCAAAACAAATTAATTAATAAAGCCTGACTAAATCACTTTGTTCTATTCAGGTTGACATTGCAGAAAGCAGAAGCCATCTGTGGGTGTGTTTTGTGAGGAGTAAAAGCAGTATTTTTCCAAGTACATGACTTTCAATTAGAATTTAAATGCAATTACAAAGTGAGTTGGTAAAAATTTCTGAATAATTCCAGCAGAATTCTATTCTCACTCAGTAGTCTTTATGTTTAAACAAAGGTGCATTCAAAAATTTTGTTAAAAATTTTGTGTGATTTGAGTAATTACCTTGAAACTCTAACTAAATTTACTCTTAAGCATACTATATTTCTGCATTGCTTTGATGTGATTTTATCAGTATTTTGTGGAATCTGTGTACTTGAAGGTTATTCTAGAGTTTGAGTGCTGTGTTCTTGTCTCTTAGGAGTATCTTTGACAGATATTTAAAATATTCAGGTATATGCAATTTTTTCTCTTCACCAGCCTTTGCATTTGCTAGCTATATTGTATGTATTTTGCAATAATTTTATTTATAATACAAAATATATAATGTCCATTTGTAGACCTTCATCATTTTTTCTCTGACATTGTCAAATTTCTTACCTTTGGATTTTTGTCTTTCACAGATGCATTTTGTAAGAGTATTTTGAAGATGAATGTTTTCAAATCATTTTGAAATAGCCAAGCACCATATACAGTAAGTGATCTGTAATTTTGTTTTTCATTCACTTGTAGTTATGATGAATATTTTTGGCAGACAATCACAAAAGAACACATTCATTTTTACAGTTTTTGACACTTGTGATTGCAGAAAGAGAATGTGTATAAAGCTAGAAAATGAGGTGTTTGTAAATCTAAATTAAGTTGTGAATTTTCCAGTTTTCTAATTACTGATTTTATTGTTGGTATAGCTATTTTCATAGAACATTCTTATTTATTATTTCAGTGAGATATTATTCACATTTTAATTGACAAAAATAATGAAAGTTTAGTGATATTAGCCAGCTGCTGGTATGTATTTTTTAATGTACATCAGATTAACATATATTGAGTTTTTTCCACATTAGGTGCTTTATATATAAACAATACATTTAGTTCTTCCCCAACACTTCAAGTTCTTATTTTTTACTCATATGTTTAAAAGAGAAAACTGGGAACCTCAGAGCTTTCATGATTTGTTCAATATTTCTCCAAAGTGGGAAGTCTAGGTTTTGTTATGTTCTTATTGCTTCTTTGGAATTTTGCTTTTGTGCAAAATTATTACAAGAGCATTGAAAAGGTTTTTTTTTTTTTCTGTCTTTTGTTGTTGACATTGTTGAAGTTATTTATCATGTCATTGGGTTCTTTTATTTAAGTGACACCTCATTCCCAAATTGGGCAATTTTAAGTTATTAGGAATTGAATAAAATGTAAATTTAAGAAAGAAAGTTGAATTTTTATTTGATAAAATGAAATTAGATTACTGAAGTTCTCAAATCATCATTAATTAAAACAAACAATCTAACCCCTCAAAACTCAAGTTGGGGATATATGTCAGAGGTAGAAAACTTGCCTAACATGAGTAAGGTTCAACAAAAAAAAATAAATATTTCAAACCACTCACCACATTTTAATGTTGGTTGTATGGTAGAGATTTTAAGGGCAACTGCACCACTCAACTGTCTTATTTGGTTAATGAGGATGACCCGGGTTACAGCTTTTGTATAGGATTCACAACAAAAGACTAGGAATCCAATAGTGGCAGAACTGATATTTATGCATTTTCTAATACAACCCTGCCAATAATGAGATATCATGAATAGGTCCTTAAAAATGCAGACTGTGGATTCCAAACACCTGGCAATCCTAAACTTCTCACTTACTAGCAATTAGACAATGAACAACTTCTATAATGTCATTTTAGAATGGTTATAAGAGTAATAATGTCTCATTCATATTGAATTAATATATGCTGTAGATACATATGTGTTGATAAGTGTTAGTAGTTGTTCATTTGTAATTCAATTACTCTGAGCATTAAATTCAAGAATTTTTGTTAATTAAACATCATAGTTGATACTCATATCATATAATTATGCAATATGGGTATTCAATGAGCAATTTTCATTGACATAATCAAAAATAAACCAAATTTCGGTCTTTTTCATAAGTAGCAAAATGCTCATTATATCTTTTGATAGAAAATAAAATAGTTAATCAATCTATATATACTCTGTGTGTGTGTTTGTGTGTGTAAAATTGTGCTGTTACTACAGACCCAGGCTGAAAAATTTGTTTGTGAGATTTTTTTTTTGAAGAGAAGAAATGAGAATTTGGATATACTAATGGAACTATAATACTTATCTTGAGGAAAACAGAGTAAATTTATAAACAAAACGAAATAGTTGAAATTTCCGACTGCCAGCATTTTGGGGGAATAGTCATCCAGTGCTTTGTAACAAATTTATGGAACTAGCTGGGTTATGGGAAAGAGAATATTCATTGAATCTGCTGAATACATTTCACATTCAACAACAAAGTTAACCCAAATAACATCATGATTCTGACCTGCTGAATTTATTTTCATATTAGGAGAATGTACAATATAATGTTTCGTTCTTTCTTTATTGGAATGAAGCTCAAGGCTTCCATACTGCAAATGCTGTTAGCCTAAATGTTAAATTCTATGATTTTTGGTTGATCTAAGGTCAGTTTGTTTGTATGAAAAACACTATTCCCAAATCTCACAATATAAAATAGGTCTTTAGTAATGCATATCATATGACTTCATTTAAAATAAAAGAAATAGCAATTGCCAAATATTCAATGCTGATAGGGCTACTTAGCAATCTCATGGTGAAGGTGAGGGGAGGGAGAGGGAGAAGGGATTGATATGTGAAACAAGCTTGTTCCTAATTTGAACTAATAAAAAAATAAACAAATAAAAAAGTTCGTTTTCCAAAGCCAGGGGCCATACCTCATGTTTTTAAGCCACATGTTTCTAAGTTGTTAAAAGCTGAAACAACTGACCACACCTTTTTCTTGCAATACCTTTTCCTTTTCATGTCACATAGAGAAGTCTAGAATAAGACTTTTCATCTGATTCATCTTCCTCACTTTTCATCACCTTTAGTTGTGTGTGGTGTTCTCAGCACCATCTTAAGACTGAATGACCATACTGATACCTCCTATTTGGCAGATCAAATTTATTTATTATTGGTTATAATTAATTTACACTTCAGTTCTTGAAATAAAAATCAGCAATGCTTATTGGGGTTTCTATGAAATGTATTAGTATTGAAAAGATTTTTGTTCTGAAAATGGAAGAGTTTACTTTCCTTTTATTTTTTAATGTTCATTTGCCTCAATCTACATACATTTAAACATTTAAATTATCATTTTATTATGTATATGGGTGTTTTGCTTGTGCACTATGCATGCCTCCTGCCTGTCTAAGTAAGAAGAGGGTAGCAGATTCCTAGAATTGGAGTTACAGATGGTTGTGGGCTGCCATTTGGGGCTTGGGAATTGAACTAGAGTCCTCTGGAGGACCCTTCACCCTCTTAAAAGTTGACCCGTCTCTCCAGGTCCTTAGGCAGAGTATCTACTCTCTCTGTGCTGTTGGTTTGTGATTGACTTATAGAATCTTATACTTCTATTTTCCGGATTTTTTCTCTGGAAAGCAAATCTATGAATTTTACTTAGTTACTATATTTTATTTAATTCATTTAATAATTATGAGATGCTCTTAAGTGAGACAGTAAACTATGGTAAAAATAGGAGGGAGAAAGAAGAATCATTTTCAATTAAACTTGATTGTCAGATTGTAGAACCAGTTTACACTCAATAATAGTTATACCAAGGCAATGGTATAAACCAATCAAATTTAAAAATCCATGTTAAATAATGAAGAAATTGTGAAGTTGTACATATAAAAACATAAAGCAAGATGAAGAGATCTGAAGAAGCAGATCTAATGCTGAACTTTTCATGCAGGATTTTGTTATTTACATTTGGTCTATATGTGGATGGAGATAGAAAATGGTATCAGGATAGTCAAAGAAATGGCTTCGAAAGGGTCAGAAGTGAAGTGGTCATTGCCAAGGTCAAGTCGTGACAAGTTATGTGGTTAACAGAGTGAGTTTGTCAAGTAAAGCAAGCATAGGTAAATTTCGAACCCAGGCTTTAGCCACACTTAGAACCTAATATTAATCATGCAACATATTAAAACTTAAGTGATAGACAAAAGGAGAGGAAGGAGAATATTTTCTGAGCGCTAATCTGGTGAACACAATTTTCTTTTCCTTTGAATAAAATTCTGACATTGTATTTAGAACAGATTCTGATTGAAAGACTGGTAAGCAAGATGATCAATTATCATGAACTACAACATCATAAAAGATGATGGCAGGACCCACGGTCATTCCAATGGGAATGGAGAGGAATGAGGTGCTAGCTGAAATGTTGGAGGAAGTAGACTTTTAGAGGAATTGGGATTTATTGTCTACCAGGGCTTGTTTTAATTGCTGCTGCCCTCCCTTTCTATTCTGCACAAAATGATACCAAGACAAACATTAGTTAAACAACATGTATGAAAATAGCACAGTCAACTTTGGAGCTCCTTGAGTGAAGCTCCTGAGCCTGTAGTTGGCTTCTTTACTGCTAGTGATCTAGAAATAATTGATGTTTCCTGTGTTGACTTGGCTGCAAAGCAATTTGCCAATAATCTGATGCCATTTTCCAGACCTTACCCCCTCTTTAAGCAGGTCCTTGGGTAGGGAGGAAAATCTTCTGACCTTTAGGGAGAAAGATCCCTTATGTGAGTGATGAGTCTCTTGTATACATTAACTTGTATGCTAGCAGCAGGAACAGTGTAATTTATATTACTCGATTATAAATTAGAATAGTAAATATGTCAACTTAGTGTGATTTATCATCTTTCCCTAGCAGAGCTTCAAATGGAACAAGGCTGGAGTGTTAAATTAAAGATTTAATACCTGAGTCCATGAAAGACCAATATTTCAGATTGGGTTTACCTATCATGCTGACCAATAATTTTCACAAGGAGAACTAGTGCCTTAGCTTTTTTTTTTTTTTTTTTTTTTTTTTCAGTGTCAGAAAAGGAGCGTATCACACTATTGAAGAAAGATCTTAGGGTCTGCATGTGTGGCTTTGGGGTTTATTCAGTTCTCTGTCGTTCAGATTCTTGACCTTAAACAGGCTGATGTAGCAGGAAGCTGTCTTCTTAATACAGTTGATTTGTTGTTCCTGTTGTGGTCATCAAATTTTATTTCATGCATTAACAGTCTTAATTTATCAATTTTCATCACAGAATTATTGTTATTTAAATTTTTGTTGTGACATTGCATGTGTCAAATGAACAAAATATTGTTTACTCTTTAAAAAGGCGCAAGTAGCCATCACAAAGATCAAGAAGAATCCCCTGTATCCTAGGTACTTTTTCTGCCTCCCAAAGAGTACCACATTTTAATTATTTCCAGAATAGTTGTAATTATTCTAGCTTTAACATTAACTACTCCCTTCCTTTTCAATACATTTTAACTATTCCAGCCTATGTTCCTCACTACACAATTTTAATATAGTATGATTTAAAATACCTTTGACAAATAGCCATGCATTCCACATACATTCTTCTATTTGAGATTTTCTTTCCTGAATGTGTAATTTCCTGAATGTGTAAATTTTATTAATGTTTGG